CAAGTCCAAATGGGTATTGCCTTTGATTGTTTCGATCCATGGATTGAGCGATTCGTGTACTTAAGCTTTGCTCAGATGTGGTAGAGTGATTTTCAGGTGTGGTTGGGTCGTTTTCACTTGATTCAGGTGAGGGACTGATATCAAAATAAGAACGGGTAGCAGAAAAATACCTTGGTGTTGATAATACTTGTGGTGTTATTCAATCCTGATGTGTGTTGCTCATGCAATCCTTTCAATTGACAGATCCTTCAAGGAGACTGTCCTTCTTCCAATTTTCAAATTATCCAATCCTTCAAGGCAACTGTCCTGTTGCCAATTTCCAAATTATTCACTCCTTAACTAAAAACAACACTTGCTTAAACTCGTTTACAACCAGTTTCTACAACAAAATTCTTACATATCCATAATAATAATAATAACAGCCACTACAATACCTGCTCAAACCCGCTCATAACCCTTAACTAAAAACAATACTTGCTCAAACTTGTTTACAATCATTTTTCACAAAAAGTTCTCACATATCCATTACAACAATAACAATAGCCACAACAATATCAATAATAATCCACAACAATCAACAACAACGACAATAGCCACAACAACATCAATAATAATCCACAAATAACAATGACAATAGCCTCAACAACAATAATAACAATAACAATAAACTGACACCTACCAAATTGGGAGAGTGCGTGATCTGTGCCCTGTGCGGGTTCTGGTAATCTTTAACCTAATATATATCCAAAACACAATAAGCAATTGAAGTTGGCTCCAATACCCAATCTACTTAACACAACCACATTACACAACACCTAACCACACAAAAATCTACTTATTATCTTCAACAATGAAGTTGCATCCCACGAGCAGCAATGCTACTGTTAAAGAAAAAAGGCAGCTAAAGCCTGATCAATGTGAATAAGAGTAATCTTATTTTGAGTGGAAGTGAGATACCAGGAAGTTGCGCCCTGTAATCTGGCAGCCTATGCCAGTGCTCTGCTACCGTGTTGGAGTCGCGCCCAACTGTTGAAAAGGAAGCGGGAACCTAGGTAGACACATTGAATCCGTACCTTGCGGGAGGGATTGTTGGACTAAAGATAATATTGATAATCAAATTTCTACATTCTCTTCAAATCTTTTCATAATGGCGATCCTGCCTGAAATATTTTCTTATTTTTTTATTTTGACAGATAGTTCCTCATGTTTTCCCTGTTAAAGGTTTTTCAAATGATATATCTGTCCATGGTGGCAGGCCAATATGTCTAGTCATATACTTCATTCTTATTGATTTTGTAAAAAAAAATGTATTACATTAATTACGTGTTAATCAATAAAGTATGAGGAAGGCCTCACTTAGCAAAAAATTATTTTTATTTTATAAAAGTAGAACTAATATATCTAATATTGATTTTTTTATTAAATCTATTATTAGAACTTGAAATAAGAAGGAAATATTAATTATACTTGAGAGAATATACTATATCTTTAAAATTATTATTTAAATATTAAGTAAAATCTTGCTTTCAAGTTAAAGATAAAATAGATTCTTGAATAATAATAAAACTTTTATTTAAATATAAAGGAAAGAATTTTTTTATAAGTATTAATATTAGCTTTATACAAATAATTTATATTTAAAAATAAGTCTTGAAATTATTTAGTATATAAAAATTTACAGATCAAATATATTCTTTTAAAAAGGATATAATTAATTACTTTTTATTTTAATAGGAATATAATTCAAAAAAACATTTAAATTAGATAGCTTAAACTATAAAAAATTTTTATATTAAAAAAAAAAACTTTTTTTAATAATAAGGAACAATTGACTTATATTTTTGTCTTTAGTTTAAGAACTTATTTTTATCTATATTATTAAAAGATAAGTAAAAAACTTTTATAAAATAATTATAATTTTTGTTTTTCATATATTATTTTATTAGGTATTTCAATTATTAATATAATATTTATAAGAGTATTGCATTGATATTAGCTATTATTTATAAATTTGATTATCTAAGTACAACTTTTTAAAGTTTTAAATAATAATAATTATATAATAGCTTCTTAAATATTTTTAGTCTAATTATCAATAAATAAACAATATCAAATTTGATAATAATAATGATATTAATTTTTTGAAAGAGTAAACTATTTATTTTTTTTTTGAAAAATTATAGAAGAGAAAATCTTGAAAAAACCTACTTTTTATTAAAAATTATTATTTAATACTAAAATGATATTGGAATAATACTGATCTATAATAAATTTAAGTATTAAACTAGTATTGAAGTGATATCATTAAAAGCTTTAATTATTATTTTTTAATATAATTTTTAGAAAAAAAAATCAATTAATTAAAAGTTAATAATATAAAAATAAAAATTAATAAGAAAAAAAAAGATTTAGAAAGAAAAAAACTTCAAAGAGAAGAAACTTTAGCTGGAAAAAAAAATAAAAAAAAAAAAAAAAAAGAATATTATTTAAAATAAAACTTGTAAAAAATAAAAAAAAAAAAAAAAAAGTAAAGTAAAAAATTATAGAGAAAAGAAATTAAAAAAATAAAAAAGTAAAAGTAAAAAATAGAAAAAAGAAAATAGAAGATGGAAAAGAAAAGATAAAAATGAAAAAATGGAAAATAAAAAAGAAAAAAAATAGGTTGAAAAGAAAGTAATAGCTGCTATTTACTTTGCTGGTTAAAAAATCAATATTGTTAAAAAAAATATATAATTTTATTATTATAAAAATATAAAATCTTTTGAGAATGTCTGTTTTTAGATTTAACAAAAGAATTAGCAGAAAAGTTTTTTTTACAGATATGTTGTTACATTGCATTGATAAGTTTAACCTAAATATAGTATTAGGTTCTTTTCATAAAACTTTGCACAATAGAATTTGATTGGCTGGGTAATGTTTGTACATATGTTGATCACATGTGTGTCGCGTCCATGATTTCTTTACGCGTCGTTACTATATAAAATGTCCATCTATTGTCTCTTATAGTCTCGTTCGTTAACTTGAGGTTCACATTCCTTAACGTTTCTTAATCTCGTTAACACCCTTACTGGTTAAAGAGTGATCTTTAACTCATGATATTCTTTGGTCTTCATAGAGTGTATAATATTTGTTTTGACCTTTCGCAAGAACCTGTCTATAGACAATTGATCACCGCACGTTACCCGCTAAAAGAGGATTTTGGCTTGTTTGTAGTTACTTTGTTTTTTCATTCTTATAATTATTATTCCTTGTTTTAGAATTCCGATGGTGGTTTTGTTTTTCCGATTGTATTCAATAGTCTTCGTAATATTTTGGAAAGCGGTTGCTTCGGTTCGTCTGTTTGTTCGAAATGCTGTCCCTTGGCAAGTACCATTGATATTATCAAATGAAAAATTCATAAAGTTATCCTGATAGTATTCCTTATAAATCAGTTCTTAATGATGTAGAAGTAGTCATAAGATTTTTAAAAGTGAAATTAAATGATTCGAAATAAAGATGTGTTCGATCCTTCTTCTTCCCTATAATAAAAATATTCTTCTTGTGCACTTTCATCGATCAAAGTTTGTGAAGATATTTAATTACTTTTGAGTTTCGTTGAAGCACGAAAACTTAATTTATGATGTTAAGAATTAAAGGCAATCTATTAAAAACTCGTATAATCTTGTCCCTGGTGATTTTATTTTATTTAATATAAGAAAGCGAAAAAGGAATCCAGACACTTTGACAAGGTGTTTCAGAAAAGATTCCAATTATATCTCTTGTTCCGTCAAATAACATGTGGTCTGGTGTTGAACGGGCTCCAAATACCTCTGACACTTGGGGTTGTCGAAATGACCGGTTTCTTGAATCTTCCTTTTGCCTTATAACCAGTGTGGTCACGTATCAGTTGAACGACTTCCGAGATATCTTTTGGTTCTTTGTTTCTTACACAAATGTCCTTTTGAAACCCGTTTACTAAATTGAATACATTTATCCATCAGAGTGAATGATGTTTTATCTTAGACAATTTGTTGCAAGATATCAATAACTCTTGATTGTAATCAAGATAAAATCAGTTTACTGACAGTAAGTCCCACGAATTAGAGGATGCTTTGAAGGTCGAGGAGTTACTATAATTTCAATTTGTGGATTTTTCTTGGCAAAAGATATAAGTCGACTTTTTAAATATTCACTATAATTCATAAAATTAGGAGAAAATAGCTTTCAAAGCTCATACTGTTGTGTTCGAAATACGGCAAGTGAATTTACAACTCACATCATACCACGACTACTCCCACTGCGTTCGCAGTAATTGAATTCTATTTTTCGACACTGAAAGATAAATCCGGAAACACCATTTTTTGGTCGGGAAATTATATGCTTTGCTTTGTGAATTTTGTTCATTTTTTCCAAAGCAGCAAAATTTGCGTTGACACATGTTTTTCCATATAAATGATTGGCTAATACAATCAATGGTTATCATAAATATGATGCTTTTTAAGTCAATATTTAATGCTTCTTCTCAAATAAAAACTTAACATGTCTAGTAACAGAAAGCGCCCTCGATTCGAAGAGGATAGTGATGAGGTGGAAGGAAATATTCTCGGTGCAAATGGCTCCTTGGTGGAAAAAAAGGCTACTAGGTTAAAACTGCCCAGTATTTTGGAATCCACCATTTTCGGAGTCCTACCGACTAGCGATTTCACAAGGGTGGTCGGAGATTTTTTGTTTGAGAACATTGACGGCGAGTATGTCGAGGTGAATATTTAATCGTGCTATTGTAAACCTCTTTGATTAACCTCTTTCGACAATATGCACGACTAATGATCGAATAAATAGATCGAAGCCAAGTTGGGCATACTAAAAGATAATCACACGAAGCAAAGAATAAAAATGAATGTTCTCTGCGAAACGAGTGAGTACAAGATACTTGTACATCTCCTTCTCTATAGCCTACCTGTTCTGATTTTTCGTTGTTATTTTCACAGTTATCTCTCCTGATCTTAAACATTTGAAATTTGAAACTAACATGTCGGCAGTAAGAATAACATTACTTACCATACGATTTTTCTTTTTTCTACTATTAATTATCTTTTAATATCTAGGCACAACATAAACATTTTAACGGCATATTGAATGAACGCGTAGTTAAAACAAAACCACCATACCCAGTAATGTCTTTATGATGTTTATCTCGAGTTCGCCAATTTTTCGAAAAGGATTAATAAACGAATCGGGAAACCTCACGCTACTATTTTGAAAAAATTATTACAGGGTGCACCTGTAGAATATAAACATCTCTACGAAACTGATAGAATTTATGAAAATAAGATCAGAGTTACCACTGATAGTAAAACTGGCGAGGTATGTGATGTGCACGATTTTTCTAGAAAGTCATCCTTTCTCGTGTTGACCGATGGGTTTAATTTTTTAGGTTATCGAAGGAGGCGTTGTTGAAAAGGTTCGGATTGCCAATTTGGACATTTATTCTCCCAACACTCAATTAGATTATCGCATAACTGTCAACTCCGAAAGACCAGGTATGAGATAATCGGTTTACCTAAAAGGATATTTTGGATATTCCGTTAATGATGATTGCTTCACAATTCAGTGGAAATGCCGACCGGTAGGATTGTGCACGAACGAAATAAGGATAGATTAAGCTATACGCATCAACTATTCAAAATAGATCTAACGCAGGTTAAAGGTCCCGAGGTGTGTCTTAGAATTGATTGATTATTGATTGTTGGTGAAAGAGAAGGACTACATGCGAGTTTGACGTTATTGTAAATTTATAGAAAGCGAGAAATTACGATGGCACCATGCCTCCACAAGATGTTTCACATGAACTTGAAGTAGAATTCATAGATCCACAAGTTCTGATAGAGGAAAAAATAAAAGTAAAGCGGAATCAACCAAATCGCTACGTGGAAATAATTGAGGTGTTCCTTCATAACATACGTTATTTGGCTCACATTGCAAATGCGCATGCATAGCTCCCTTTTACGTTTATATCATCTGGTAGCATGCCTAAAATTCTGAGAATTTTGATTGTGTAAGATTATTATAATATATTCGGTATATCGTTTCGAGATTAGTTAAATAGTTCATTCTTGGATCTAGCAAAATAACCATTTGATTCATGTCATGAAAAGCAAATTCTAAGGACATTATTTGCCTATATCTTTTACACTCGATTTGATGTTATTTGGATTCAATTTATTTTTCGTCACTGGATAGACAGTTTTGAATCCCAAGTAGAATTCTTATTCTTGATTAGTTGTATCTGTTGATAATAGATACAATATTTTATAATTTTGTAATGTGAATTCGAATTAATTTTCTTAGTTTGTAAATATTCAATGAATTCTTTACCAAGATTACTTGTATATTGTATTAGTTTGCCAGAAAATAACTTCAAACTTCTTTATAATATTTTTTGATATACACAATATTCATATATTTTGAAAGTATAATATTATTATGAATAATCAATTATTTGATTTTATATCAGGACAAATTAAATTTACTTGACATCATTCTATCAAATAGTCACTTATTATTATTACTGTTGCATGATTTATACAAAATTAATGATGATGCCAAGACAAATAGATTGGTGATCTTTTCAACGTAACGACTGATAGTAGTTTTCTTTCTAAAAATGATACGCCAGGTACCTCATTAGAATGCCATTATTTAGGTAATGCTATGCGGACCATCGAAATTTGGTTCCAAATGTCTTTTGTTAGATAAACGAGTACATTATATTTATTCTAGGAAATTATAAACAGAGTTTTATAGCAGCTATACTAAATACAAAAAAAAAAACGAAAAATTAAGACAATGCACATGATATTAAGACTATTTTAAATTCTATATCATCAAAAATTTTAAGAAATTAACACCATCCAACCGATGATAAAATAGAACAAGAATAATGGATATACGGCCAAAGCCCGACGATTCGCCAAGTGTGAAGACGAGAGAAAATTCACAGATGCTAAAATAGAGAGTGAGTTCAGGATTCATTAAATAGCTGATCTTCTAATTTAACCTTATGTCAATAAATTCGCTCACCGTAAGACGACCAGGCGAACGCAATAATACACAGAGGTAATCGTATATAAACTTTTTTTCCAACAAATACTGCAATAAATGCAATCAGCACCAAAGGAAAGATACAATATCCGAGAATGCACACACTTTGAAAGAATGAACTAGAAGAAAAAAGAATCAGTAATATATATAAAACTTCAATTGCACAATGACGTCAACTTACACAGTACCACCAAGGAGTTTAGCATTTATTGTCACAATTGCAGCACCAAACCACACAATAACAAAGACACCAGTGAAAACCAAAATTTCTTGGTCAGCTGGCGCTCTCACACTTAATAATCTAAGATTGTACAACAGATTAGAAAACATCTAGTAAAAATCAGCACGATCACATTCATAACTTACATAGCCAGAGCCAGGCAAAGAATTAGTGGACCCCATAAATCCCCTTATAGGGAATAAGGAAAATTAGTCGCCTAATCGGTAATGCGGCAAAGAACAAAATAAATTTCAGATATTTACAATCTTTCAATACATCTCGGCGTCCTTTAGG